CCTCCCCCCTCCTTTTCAACAAAAAAAACCCCAAAAAACAATCGTAATATAAAATATACATGCTCCAAGTCAGGAACCGTTACATTAGTGCATTTCACAATTATTTTATGTTTTTTAGCAAAAAAAAGTCCAAATATTTTTTTCGCATCGGCAAAAGATTTGATTCCACGCCCCCTCTTTCAAATATCCTAGAAACACCCCTGCAGATGTACCGGACCGAAACTAAAGTGCTACCTATTGCCTAGTTTGCGTTATTTCTTTCTAAAAACAATGTCAAACCACATGTAGATTTTAAGATACGTTATGTAATTCAGTGGACGCGTAAAAGAAGGGCATATCGTCTAGTCACCAGTTTCCGCGCGTTATGTATTTCCGCGCAGACATTTTTATCAAGCTATATCTCGTAACTACGTGACCTGCTGGACACAACACAAGGATATTTTAGACGTTTGGCCATCGTCTGTAAACTGACATTTTTTTTTACCGGAAGTTCGTCCGGAAAACATAAGAATTAATCACTGATTAAAAAACACGCATAAATATGCAGTTTTGCTTAATGCACTTTTTATCTCGTTCAAAATGAATCAATACCTGAAAAAACGGTGATATATTTCATTCATGAACCAGTCTTTTTTGTAGTCTGACAAACGTACGAAAATGTCGTATGCAAATGAGGCCACATCTCCCTGCCGATTTTTTTCCACTTACGAAGAGCCAAGGAGACATTCTTATATCGATAAACAGTGTTTTCAATAAAACGTAAACCTTGTAATGCAATGATACTATTCTTGATACGTTGTTTTTATTCTCCGAAACTGTGCATTTTAGCTCTGCTTATAGAACGGTCCAAGTGCGTTTGTTTCTGAGCCACACGTAGATCTACCGTTTCAACCGGGATACGCGAATGTAGCTAATTATATTAGTGCACGCATCCGGATATTCCAAAAACCACGTTTAAGATATTAGACAAGCCGTAAAATGACTTACTTCCCTTGAAAGAAGATGGCTGTGCTCGTCGTGTGAAGAGATGCTGAGATAAGAGGTTTGCTGTTATTTTTGCATGTAGGCCTCTTTTGCTACATCAATCAAACGTGGAAGATCAAAATGAATCTCAAGATGTATTAAGCTTGGCACGCTGTCATTGTCGCACGATCAATATTGTCAACGTGTACATACACCAGGAACCGCTTTAGTACTACTGCGACTTCAATACTATATTACAATAGGACTACTTGTTTGTTTTGTTGTCTCACCTGCGACAGATGTCGCGAAGGTGGAAAAATGGATGTCAATTTTCCTGTTGTTGCGTCAATGTTCATTTTTTTGTGTTTAACTCTTTTCTGCAAAAGTAGAATCATCCGTCAAATATGAGTGAAAATATCGAAGTGGTCGTTTTCGTTATGGGTTCTACCTCTACTTCTACCATTTGATGACCTACTTCAGCATAGTGAAGATCATGTCATATATAGGTGTAGCGCTATGAAAGGAAAGGAACAGAACTTAATATTGATGAGCAGAGATAGATGATTTGAAGGACAGTTAGTATTGAATCAGAAGAATTAAATTTGAGAAGGGTGTTTGTTCCAATCTTTGATAGTCCGAGGAAAGAATGATTCCTTCCTTACAGACGTCGTGCATGAGATAGTTTGAAATGAGGTTTGATGACTATGCCTTGTTTGTCTGGTCAGCCTCGCGTCTTTCCTGCGATCTGCAAGACTACGCCATTTTAGGTGTTCTAACATGTTGCCAACGCTAAAGGTGTTACGATATAGCGGTTGGCAACAAAACGAGCAGCCCTGTGCTGTACCATCTCTAGCTTGTCTATATCTTTTTTTTAAGTAAGGGTCCCATACTAATATTAAAGCAGAAAAGTATATGAAATTTTATTACTAATGAGAAAATTTCCTTTTTTGACACGGTAAATTTGTCATAACACTTTTGATTAAAAAAAAAAGAAAAACAGCTTTCTTTCCACTTTTCCTTTAAGTTGTATTTCTTCATGACCAAAGGTCATTGGGTTTTGATATTTGGCAAGTAGGTTGTTTATGTGAATGGCATTAAGTTTTGTAAGCATTGATGACCTTGACCTTCGTTCAAGGTCACAAAAACAAATTTGCTAGAATAAAATGTTTGTATTGGGAGTCCGACAAGGATATCTTTCCTTGCTTTATTTGTTTAGAGTTAACAATATAAAATAATGTAATATTCCTTCATATTTTGATTAGTGAATTGGCAATAGGCAAAATGAAATATAACTAGAGCTGTAAGTCAAATGTTAACTAATACCACCCGCTCCTATATAAAGCAGAACTGTAAGCAAAGGGCTAGCTAAGACAAAGCATTGTAAAGCAATCCATAGTCACCCATCGGTAATTATTTAAGTATATAGGTCACTGACATACTTTCTGTACTCCCTCCCAATGCCAAACATTCTTCTATACCAGATTTTGTTAGTCCAGATGAACCAGTTTTGCTGAAATCGTCCTAATAGTTAAGAAAGAGTTGTCAAGACAAAGATTTTTAACAAAGGGCCATAACTCCTTAAAAATGGTCGAAATGAAAAATACCATCCTAATGCACGACATCGGGGGGTAATAACCATATCTGTAAACTTTCATTGAAATCAGCCCAGTAGTTTATGAGGCAGACAGAGGTTGTTTTCAACAAAGGGCCATACCTCCTCTTAAAGGGTCGGAATGAAAACGTACTACTTGGATGCACAATGTCAGGGGGCAGTTACCATACCTATAAACTTCCGTTGAAATTGGCGCCATAGTTTTGGAGGATTTGTCTGGACAAGTTTTTTTCAACAAAGGGTCATTACTCCGTAAAAAAGGGGTCAGATTGAAAAAACAATACCTGTATGCTCAACACCAGGTAGTAGTTATCATATCTGAAAACTTTCGTTGAAATTGACCCCTTGGTTTTGGAGGGCATGTCTATGTCTGGAAAAGGATTTTTCAACAAAGGGCCATAACTTTGTAAAACAAGGGTCAGAATGAAAAAAATAATACCTGCATGCAAAACTTTAGGTAGTACTGTAGTTATCATATCTGGAAACTTCTGTTGAAATTGGTCCATTACTTTAGAAGGAGTTGTCCGGACAAACATTTTCTACGGACAGACAGACGGACGGACAAGCTGATTCCAGTATACCACCCTAACATCGTTGCGGAGGTTATACTTAATTGTATAATAGTTTTACTATTAAGATTATGTTATTATATTTTATATTATTACATATCGTTGTCTATAACACAATCTCAACCTTGAGTAGTTCTCCAGAGAAACGATTACTTTGGCAGAATACATTTTCATGAGTTAATGCTGTTGCACATAACTTTCAAACAAACTTTATATAATAAAGTGTTTTGGTACAAAAACAGAAAATGTATCGGCATTTACCATAAAAAACATTGATAATCAAATCTCCATGTTTATGTGAAATTGGCCTTTGATCATGTTTGGCATGCTAAAAAAGCACTTTACCGGTTTTGATATTTCATAAAAATGATTCTGTAGACAGAATATGTATATGGAAAGTTTTTAAAGAAGTTTAAGATATAGATTACCATTGTAACTATATATAGGCAAGTTGACAATGTTGGTTATATTTTGAATTATGTGAAAATTTTGCATGTTTTTCTAATTAAAAGTATCACTAGGCTTACTTCATGTATACCAATATGACATATTTAGTATCAAAATAACAGTAATTTTAATGCACTGTACACTAACATAATTCATTTTCAAAATAGCATTCTCCTGTGACATTTATCTGTCATTTTGTTAGGATACCCCCGTCACTCAACATGGTGTTATGTAAGGAGGTCCACTACGGTTATCAGTTGTAATTATGAATAATCATATAGGCAGTTATTGATCATTTTTATGTATCTACATATGGCAAAAGAATAAAAGAAATCAAAGAGGGGGCCAAATGTTGACCCCACCTTTGCTATCTGTAAACTCTGTTTTCATAAATCGCACAAAAAAGCAAGACTGTTATGGTGATTTTAGAATCAGTGTTCCAACATGTACAGTAATCTAACTGTACAGCAAATTTTCTCTCATCTTTTAATGGGGTTTAACATGAACTTCTTTCACTGTGTTAATATTTTCCAGTATGTTGCTCATTCTAAATATCACATTCCTTTTTGATGCAATACATTAGAAAATTTATCAGATACACAGGCTGTTACGAATTTTATTAACATCATCATCACAAACATATTTTGATATGTAACGTGTCATCCATTGTGACATTATAAATTCATGAAAAGAAAAACTGGTTGTGGTTCCCTTTGATTTTTCCGGTCTAGATAAATCTCATGTCTAGATAAATCTCAATTTTTTGCTCACAAGGTGAGCTTATGCCATACTGTGGCGTCCATCCGTCGTCTGTACATCAACAATTTCTTTAAACATCTTCTTCTTCTTAACCACTGATTGGATATCAACCATATTTGACTGGAAGCATCCCTAGGTAGTAGAGATTCAAAATTGTACAAATGGTGTGGCTGACCCCCAGGGGACTGAGCGGCTGGGCCAAAAAGGGTTATTTGGCTATATTGCTTTAAGCGACTTCTCTGGAACTAAGAGATGGATATCAACCATATTTGACTGGAAGCATCCCTAAGTGGTGGGGATTCAAAATTGTACAAATGGTGGGGCTGACTCCCCAGGGGGCTGAGGGTGGGGCCAAAAGGGACCAATTTGGTTATATTGCTATAAACGACTTCTTCTGTAGAAATATGCCATGGATATCGATCATATTTGGTCGGAAGCATTCATGGTAAGCAGGGAGTCAAAATTGTACAAATCGTTGGGCTGACCCCCCCAGGCTAAGGGGTGGGGCCAAAAAAGTTTATTACTTGGAAATGGTTGAGATCCCCACTGTATAACCATATATATACAATTGATGAGTATAAGGAGAAGAATGTACATGTGCTTCCAGGATGGCTCTAGGGTCTAGCCGCACCCTTGGAGACATAGTTCCTGGGTCATAACTTTGAAACGGTTGAGATCCCCACCACAAAACTATATAAACAAATGCTGGGCATAAAGAGACGAATATTTTATGATATTAGAATAGACCCTGGGGTCTGACCGAACCCCTAGGGAACTAGTTTCTTAGTCACAGCTTGGAAACAGTTGAGATCCCCACCCTATAACCATCTATACTATTGCTGAGTATAAAGAGATGAATGCACATATGCTTCCAGGATGGCCTTGGGGTCTGCCCCACCCTTGGAGACTTAACCCTTGGGTCATAACTTCGAAATGGTTACGATCCCAACCACAAAACTATATATACAATTGTTGGGCATAAAGAGACGAATGCAGTGATGATATAAGAATTGACCCCAGGGTCTGCCCCACCCTTGCAGACTTAACCCCTGGGTCATAACTTTTAAACGGTTGAGATCCCCACCCCAAAACTATATATACAAATGCTGGGCAAAAAGAGACGAATGTAGTCATGAAATTAGAATTGATCCTGGGGTCTGGCCACAACCCTAGGGACCTAGTTTCTGAGTCACAGTTTAGAAACAGTTGAGATCCCCATCCCATAACCATACATAAAATTGCTGGGCATGACAAATCTAATACAGATATGCTAGCCTTCAAGGATTGGCCTTAGGGTCTGGCGTATTTTCTTGGATGTCATTTGGAGAATATTTTGCCATGATTGCTTAGATATCCAGGTGAGCGATACAGGCCCTCTGGGCCTCTTGTTTTAATTAAACATGTTTTGATTGAGTATATGATGAAAAGAATCTCAATAAAACTTGTTTCATGAATATCCTATGTAATCAAAACTGACCAAAAATCCTCTGTATACCAAAAGAAAGAGGCCTCAAGCCAGTCTGCATGGGAATGCACTGACTCGGGAGGGGTGTAGGGGTGGTGTTAGCTTTTACACTTGTGAATAAAGAGGGGACCGATATGTTGTATAAAAGCAAAACAAATGATGAAATCTCATAAAGACATTTTGCTGGTTATATTTTTTTGTGTCAATGCTGAGTTCTACAGGTAATAGCAGTCACATCCATGCCGTTCTGTACTTCGAAGGTTTTATGTCGCTCAGGGCTAATGAAAGTTTTGATATTTATTAAGAAAATATAGGTTGTGCTGGCAGAAAGTTTGCTTGTAGACTAGAACTCGGAGAATGAAATTTTACACTGCTGCTATATAATGGATATTATAGTAACTCAATGACTATAACTCATCATGAGCATGCCCGTGACAAATTAAAATGTTTTAATTTCTAAAAATGTGAGGGTAAAATTTATCTGCTTTTGATCAGGAATGTGTGGTTGACATGGGTTAGAAGAGTCCTTCATTAGGAGGCAGGGATTCTGAGATCTGAACTGTATTCCATGGAGTCAGACAAATGTAAATCCAATAGTGACCAATCAGAGGAGGAGATGGTGCGACCCCACGAGTCCCGTGGGGCAATGACCTTTGTCCCTGTTGGGCTGAACATCCAGAAATTCCAGTTATCTCCCCTGTCCTGTACATGTCGACGGTTCTATGTGCAGATCTGTGTGCTCCTGGTCATTGTGGTGCTGCTGGTGCTAATACGAACAATCTCTAATGTGCGGGTCATGTTTGAGGAGTACCACATGGCAAGTGACACAGACGGGGAGCTTGTTGTCCTGCCCCAGCGATTCGCACAGTCACGTTCAGCATTCTGCCTTGATGGTTCAGCTCCAGGCTACTACATTCGATATGGTAAGCCCTATGTTCTGATGCGTCAGTTCAAAATCACGATATTTATTGCATACATTATTGTTAAATAATATTTGGAAAGTACACTATCTAGTTTCAAGGAAGTTTAGCTAAGGCACTAAACCTTCAAATGATAACAGACATATGTCACCTAGTACAAGAGTCCTTCTGGTTTATGTCTATTTGTTAAAACTAGACCTTGATGTATATTTATGTTTCCATTGTACAGCTTCTAAATAAACCTACCAACTCAATACGTTGAAGTACTATTACAGGTGAATATTTACCTATTAGAAACTTTTCCAATCTATCCTGAGACTAACCATGTCATAATATTACTAAACTGAAGTTAAGCAAGACAGAAATCTCCAAATTCTGAGTTCAGTTTCTCACCTGAATAAAATGGTAAGCAAACATGTCTTTGTTTCTGTAAAGGTGACTGTTCCACCATTTGTTAAAACAGTTCATTTAGAATGAATCATGAACCAAAACAAACTTTTGTAGTGTACTAATGTTATTCAATAACATTCATATCGACTATAAATGCCAACTGAAAGCAGTTCATTGCTCCATCTATGCTGAAGTTATAGATAGTTCAATTAGATAAATAGCAGACTCGTCCTAGCTGCTTTTGCAATTAGCTGGATTATAATATGAGAACATGCCCTTGCAATTCTAAACAGCAAAATCATAAGCATAACTGATGTATAATTTGTATGCTTTATCATTATTTCAAAGTATGATTGTTTTGTGACTTAATATGATTACAATCAATCTTTGTAGGTCAGTTCCCAGGTAACACTAATTGGATTATCTACCTGTCACCAGGTGCCTGGTGTAGCACACCTGCTGATTGCTATAACAGGTAAATACATATACACACATGCTGATTGTTACAACAGGTAAATACTTATACACACCTGCTGATTGTTATAACAGGTAAATACATATACACAGCTGTTGATTGTTATAACAGGTAAATACATATACACACCTGTTGATTGTTATAACAGGTAAATACATATACACACATGTTGACTGTTACAACAGGTAAATACTTATACACACCTGCTGACTGTTACAACATATAAATACATACACACACATGCTGATTGTTACAACATATAAATACATACACACACATGCTGATTGTTATAACAGGTAAATGCATACACACACATGCTGATTGTTATAACAGGTAAATACATACACACACATGCTGATTGTTACAACAGATAAATACATACACACACATGCTGATTGTTACAACAGGTAAATACATATGCACACCTGTAAACTGCTATCTCGGAATCTCACATGATCGTGGTAACATCCCTACCCAGAATTCTGATTGTCACCTCTTTACCTTGTAGAAGCTTCACAGCTGTCGGCTCTAGTGTAATAGCTCCAATCTTCTTTCCTTTCACTGGAATCCTGTCAGCTAATGAGGAGGAGAACCCAGATTTTTACCGCTGGAACATGGTCAAAATCCTCTATTGTGATGGTGGCTCCTTTTTAGGTAACTGTCATGGATGTTTGCTGAAAATATTGTATATGATTTCTTAGTAGTACTGCAGTGAGATAATAATTATTTTGAATATTCACAATAACTAGAACCTTGATTAAAGTTTATGTGAATCTGTCATAGTTACCCAGTTATGAATAATTAGTTAATAAAAGATGCATACAATTTTTTCTTCAACTTTTAAGGAAATGTGTGGATATACAAATACAAAAATATGTATGTGTAAAAATAATGACACAACAAAGCAGTTGATCGTATCTAACATTTTCAAGCCTTGATGATCAACTGTATTTGACTTGTTGATTTTTTTGGTTACCCGAGTCACTCAGATTTGGATATACAGCATGTATTTTTATTCTTTGTCACTTCACAATAACAAGTAACTATTTGATTTAACTCAGGTGACTGGTAAGGCCCTTTGGCCTCTTGTTTTAATCTACATGTCTCAATGATACATAAAGTCTTCACAAGATTGGACGTTATGCAACCTAATTTAGCTGATAGAATGTTCAGAGGTTGCTGTAATCATGTTATCTGTGCCATACAGGAAACAGGGCAGAACCACTGGTCCACCAGGGGAAGCACCTGTACCTGCGCGGGACACAGGTGTTGACAGCTGTTATTGAGTACCTTCAGATGAACACAAACTTTGGAGCAGCTGAGAAGGTGATCCTGGCCGGCTCCTCATGTAAGGACCTGATTGTAGAGGACACAGGTCCAAGTAAAATCTCATCTATAACTACTTGTGGTTCCTGAAACTAAATCCTCTGTCAGTGAAAATTGTAATGTTTTATTAGTTCTTCATGGAATCTGAGTCCTCTACCAGTAACACATTACACTTTATGATGCTTAACCATTAATATGTACAATGGGATTAATATTTCTTTGATGCCATCTGTTGTCTGGACAATCCAGGATCAGAACATCAGTATTGACAGATTGTTTATGTTTAAATGAACATTCATTCCCACAAATATCACCACTCGTTGCAGACTGTCATCAGCATGTCTAATATCACAATAAAGGTGAACCATTGAAGCATTTAGTCTTTTTCTTCACAATAACTTATTAATTGCTAAACATTTCTGAACTTTGTGTTCATTGAAACAGCACATATCTCCTTTCCAAACAAATTCTACAAGAAACTTTAATTTGTTTGTTGTTTTGTTTCCTAGCTGGTGGTCTTGCTGCTCTCATCAATGTTGACCACTTAAGGAAGAAATTAGTGACGGTCAAGTCTGTCCATGCCTTACTGGATGGCATGTTGTTTATAGACAGTCAGAACATCTATGGCAAACACATCATGCAGGACACTTTGAAAAAAGTCTTCCACCTTCATAAAATAGCAGGTACATGTGAACATTTATCTTAAGGATCCCAATACCAAAAACTGTAGCTATGAACAATAACCTTAATGATTCTCATACCATGATAGCATGAAAAAACGAGAACTTTGAACATTTATCTTTAGGATTCCATTATGTCTGCTAAGAAAACTGTAACCATGGAGATTATCTTAAAGATCCATGTACCACTGCCAAAAACTGTAACCATGAAGATTATCTTAAAGATCCCTGTACCACTGTCAAAAACTGTAACCATGAAGATTATCTTAAAGGTCCCTGTACCACTGCCAAAAACTGCAACCATGAAGATTATCTTAAAGATCCCTGTACCACTGCCAAAAAGGTTATCTTAAAGATCCCTGTGCCACTGCCAAAAACTGTAACCATGAAGATTATCTTAAAGGTCCCTGTACCACTGCCAAAAAGATTATGCAATGGAGTGTTCAAAGAGTGAAAATGTCAATAGAGTGTTCAAAGAGTGAAAATGACAATAGAGTGTTCAAAGGGGCAAAATGTCAATAGATTGTTCAAAGAGAGAAAATGTCAATAGATTGTTCAGAGAGTGAAAATGTCAGTAGAGTGTTCAAAGAGTGAAAATGTCAATAGAGTGTTCAAAGAGTGAAAATGTCAAAAGAGTGTTCAAAGAGTGAAAATGTCAATAGATTGTTCAAAGAGTGAAAATGTCAATAGAGTGTTCAAAGATTGAAAATGTCAATAGAGTGTTCAAAGAGTGAAAATGCAATGGGGGAGACCTTGTGTATAATCGATTTTCTCCGTGAGGTGATGTCAGATACCGATTGTCAGGTGTTTTAGTGGCAGATATTTGTTGCTGACCAAAATATTACCTAAAGGACATCACATATCACATCGAAAATGACTTCACTTTTTATAGTATCAGCCAATAGGGAAGTAAACATTTCGAACTCAATTTGTTTTTATGCCTTCCCTAGTCAGGATTAAGAACATTTGTAGTTCTAGATTGGGGGTCACCTGGTGCACCAACTTAGGATAGTTATTCTATATGGGTGTTCTATAAGGGAAGCTTGAATCTTGCATATGCAGATGTAGGAGATAAAGGTTCTCTGTTTCCTAGGTTTTGTAGAGGAAATCATCTTTTACCAGGTTAAAACTGTTTACTACTTATCTTTTAGATCCCTTATGAATCTATATTGTGTTGTAGATGCCCCAGCTATCCAAGAATGTACCTCGAGTCTGGCGTTGTCGATCGCCTACCGTTGTATGGACCCTCTCTACTTCTACAACTACTTATTCACACCCGTGTTCCTGATCAGCTCTCTCCACGACTCCTGGTACATAAACAATGCCCTGGCCATCACCTGCCCGTTTAAGAAGTGCCCACCCCAGGAGATCATTGTAATAGACAAATACAAGTCTGCTACATTACGGGCACTCCAGCCTGTGAAACAATCTGTCCATGACGGCCTGTTCATCACATCGTGCCCAGTTCACATTCTGTTACTGTCTAAGTGGTTCTCCCATCAGTCTGTTAGTGTTAACAACACCAGTCTACAACAGGCTCTGTCTCTGTGGTATCATCACAAACACCCTGTCAAATACATCGACAACCGTCAGTTCTCAGAGACGCTGCACACCTGTAAAACTATCACATACTAATATTAGACTGTCGCAGACTAGTGTAAGACTGTCTCATACTAGTGTAAGACTATCATATACTAGTGTAAGACTGTCTCATACTAGTGTAAGATTGTCACAGACTAGTTTAAGACTGTCACAGACTAGTGTAAGACTGTCACATACTAGTGGGAGACTGTCACAGACTAGTGTAAGACTGTCACAGACTAGTGTAAGACTGTCTCATAATAGTGTAAGACTGTCACATACTAGTGTAAGACTGTCTCATACTAGTGTTAGACTGTCACAGACTAGAATAAGACTGTCACAGACTAGTGTAAGACTGTCTCATACTAGTGTAAGACTATTACATTCTAGTGTAAGACTCTCATACTAGTGTAAGACTGTCACAGACAAGTGTAAGACTCGCAGACTAGTGTAAGACTGTCACAGACTAGTGTAAGACTGTCACAGACTAGTGTAAGACTGTCACATACTAGTGTAAGACTGTCTCATACTAGTGTTAGACTGTCACAGACTAGAATAAGACTGTCACAGACTAGTGTAAGACTGTCTCATACTAGTGTAAGACTTGCATACTAGTGTAAGACTCACAGACTAGTGTAAGACTGTCTCATACTAGTGTAAGACTGTCTCATACTAGTGTAAGACTGTCACAGACTAGTGTAAAACAGTCATATACTAGTGTAAGACAGTCATATACTAGTGTATGACTCCCAGGATGACCTGATAAACCCTCTACTAATAATAGTGTGGTGATCCTCTGGCTGTGTCGGCAATAATATCTTAACTGGTATTGTGGGGAACCCTCTGTCAGGGATGGTGTGGGAAACCCTCTGTCAGGGATGGTGTGGGAAACCCTCTGTCAGGGATGTTGTTGTATTCCCTTTGTCAGGGATGGTGTGTAAAACCCTCTGTCAGGGATGTTGTTGTATTCCCTTTGTCAGGGATGGTTTGGGAAACCCTCAGACAGGCATGGTGTGAGAAACCTGTGTAAAACCCTCTGTCGGGGATGGTTTGGGAATCCCTCAGACAGGCATGGTGTGCGAAACATGTGTAAAACCCTTTTTCAGGGATGGTGTGGGAATCCCTTTGTCGGTGTGGGAATCCCTCTGTCAGGGATTGTGTGGGAAACCCTTTGTCAGGCATTGATCATGTGAGAAACCCATTGTCAATGAAGGTTTGGGAACCTTTCTGACAGATATTTGGTAATAAATAACAGTATTGTGATATGAAGCTCAACTCACTTTTGTTGTAGACATTTATTTTCATTTAATTATTCATGTAATTTATTTAATTTAAATAAGTCTGTACATGAGGACATCAAATGTGGTTTTGATGGAGATGTTTTTGTATAGATGAACAGACAGGAAAACTGCAGTGCTCTGTGAGGTAATTGATTTGTCTGCCTCAGCTGTACAGCCATGTCTTGTTGAGGACTTTGTATGACAGTGTCCATTTCAACAACATTAAAAGGCCACAAACATTTTACACTTTGTTGTCTCAATCACTGTTACACTATATAATGGGGACTCGGATAGGTGTTGTCTCCATCACTGTTACACTATATAATGGGGACTCAGATAGGTGTTGTCTCCATCACTGTTACACTATATAATGGGGACTTGGATAGGTGTTGTCTCGATCACTGTTACACTATATAATGAGGACTCCAATGTGTTACTGTACAAAACGTTTAACCCATTAATGTGTGCTGATCTTTCAAGCACAAAAGTACCTCCCTTTTAATATCAGTTCGTTTAAATCAAACATAATGACTGGATGTGCAATAAATCAAGCTTGTAGATGAGTGTGATTTCATAATAGTGTGACTATTAGTGTAATCGGCTGGATCAAAATTCCTTCAAGTTGCTCATGTTGAGCCTTAATTCCAAGTTATATGTTTATGTTATTGTATTGTTATTATCAAGTTTTTTCTTTCACTACTTGTAATTTTTAGTACCCTTGTTTGTTCTCTTTGATGAAATCTTTGAGTTGTGTCTCACTAGGCACCTCTAGTTCACCCATTTTCAGAACAAGGTGACTGGGTGGGACATTTATGTGTAGTGGTCGTCGGTAACCATGCTCTTAGTGGACTGACATTGTACGACCTTGGCTAGGTTGACCGTCCGTGGATACAAGATGTCATCTGACCTAAGAGTGAAGGTGTAAAGCCCTATGTTGTTTCTGAAATTAAGTGGCATATTCCGACAAAATCAAACGAATTAAAAAGTTTTGGTGAGACTTTTAGAACAGTTAATGCTGCAAAGAGACTAGTTATCACTGCTACTTACAACCTTGTATGTAAACTACTACTTATTGTCTTGTATGCTCGGGTACCAACTATATCAGCCTTGATATCAAAGATCCCAGTGACCCGAGACCATCATGACTTACTACAAACAAGACTTAACTGTTGTAAATCATGTTGTTGTTTTGTGTAGTTGTAGTCATTGATTTTTTGACTTTTTGTGATACAATCATTTACATTCTAGTCCCCAGTTTGTATTACCAGGTAGTGTACTTTTATAGAAATGCCTTGTCGACTGACAAGTATCCAGGTTATTTATAGTACACAATACAAAGGCTTTAAATTATCTTCAGATCATATTGGTATGAGGATAAGTGAAATTATTTCGATATACGATATAGTCTACTATATTGTTACTATTACTCAGTGAAGGGAAGGGGTGGGTGGTGGAGATAAGATCTTATAACGACACAACACTGTCACGTGCTGACTTGTCTAATATTTCTACAAAATTTCGCAGAAATATTTAATAATTTATGATGATAACATACTTGACCAAAGAGCATGATGTTACTATTAGACATAATGTGTTGACAAAACCCCTGATGTACTTAGTGCTCCCTTCACTGTTATCAATGAAATTTTGATACAATGTGAAAGATCATTTTAATGTGTATAGAATCAACAAGGTTTGTAAAACTTTTCTTCTGTTTCTCAATTAAATATTACAATGTTTTTTACATGTAAAATATTTACTCCTCAATATGCAAATATGTGTTGAGATATGTTTTGTTGCTATGAATTTGTTTTGTGTTATATTAAGTATTCTTGTAAGAATATTTACAGTAGTATTTTTATAGGAAATGAATAAAGACATTATATTGTAGTCCATTATAATCACAATTATTAAGTACTAAGTTATCATTAATGGTTATTACAAAATTAAGTGCAAATGTACCGGTATACCACTGTATAATTTACAGTGAAATGTACTGGTATACATGACAGTATGATTTACCGTGAAATGTACCGGTATACATGACAGTATGATTTACCGTGAAATGTACTGTTATACATGACAGTATGATTTACAGTGAAATGTACTGGTATACATGATAGTATAATTTACAATGAAATGTACTGGTATACATGACAGTATATTTTACAGTGAAATGTACTGGTATACATGACTGTATAATTTACAGTGAAATGTACCGGTATACATGACGGTATGATTCACAGTGAAATGTACTGGTATACATGACAGTATAATTTACAGTGAAATGTACCGGTATACATGACTGTATAATTTACCAGTGAAATGTACCGGTATACACGACTGTATGATTCACAGTGAAATGTACTGGTATACATGGCGGTATGATTCACAGTGAAATGTACTGGTATACATGACGGTATGATTCACAGTGAAATGTACTGGTATACATGACTGTATAATTTACAGTGAAACGTACTGGTATACATGACTGTATAATTTAACAGTGAAATGTACTGGTATACATGACGGTATAATTTACATGTTTTCTAGATTCCTATAGGCTAGTGATGTTCATCATAACAGCCATCAACACTCTTTTAAAAACACGGGGTATACATGACTGTATAATTTACCGTGAAATGTACTGGTATACATCACTGTATAATTTACAGTGAAACGTACTGGTGTACATGACTGTATAATTTAACAGTGAAATGAACTGGTATACATGACAGTATAAGTGTAAGACTGTCTCATACTAGTGTTAGACTGTCACAGACTAGAATAAGACTGTCACAGACTAGTGTAAGACTATCACATACTAGTGTAAGACTGTCACATACTAGTGTAAGACAGTCTTACACTAGTATGTGACAGTCTTACACTAGTATGAGTTCACTGTAAATTATACTGTCATGTATACTAGTACATTTCACTGTAAATTATGCAGTCATGTATACCAGTACATGACTGTATAATTTACATTGACATGCACCGGTATACATGACAGTATAATGTATAATTTACCAGTGAAATGTACCGGTATACGTGACAGTATAATTTACAGTGAAATGAACTGGTATACATGACTGTATACCAGTACGTTTCACTGTAAATTCTACAGTCATGTATACCAGTACAGTTCACTGTAAATCATACTGTCATGGATACCAGTACATTTCACTGTTAAATTACACTGTCATGTATACCAGTACAGTTCACTGTAAATCATACTGTCATATATACCAGTACATTTCACTGTGAATAATACCGTCATGTATACCAGTACATTTCGCTGTAAATTATACTGTCATGTATACTAGTACATTTCACTGTAAATTATCCTGTCATGTATACCAGTACATTTTACTGTAAATTATATTGTCTTGTATACCGGTACATTTCACTGGTAAATTATACATTATACTGTCATGTATACCGGTACACTTCACTGTAAATTATACAGTCACGTATACCAGTACATTTCACTGCTAAATTATACTGTCATGTATACTAGTACATTTCACTGTAAATTATGCAGTCATGTATACCAGTACATGACTGTATAATTTACAATGAAATGTACCGGTATACATGGCAGTATAATTTACAGTGAAATGAACTGGTATACATGACTGTATACCAGTACGTTTCACTGTAAATTTTACAGTCATGTATACCAGTACGTTTCACTGTAAATTATACATTCATGTATACCAGTACATTTCCCTGTTAAATTATACTGTCATGTATACTAGTACATTTCACTGTAAATTATCCTGTCATGTATACCAGTACATTTTACTGTAAATTATATTGTCTTGTATACCGGTACATTTCACTGTTAAATTACACTGTCATGTATACCAGTACAGTTCACTGTAAATCATACTGTCATGGATACCAGTACATTTCACTGTTAATCATACCGTCATGTATACCAGTACATTTTACTGTAAATTATATTGTCTTGTATACCGGTACATTTCACTGTTAAATTATACAGTCGTGTATAACAGTACATTTCACTGTAAATTTTACTGTCATGTATACCAGTACATCTCACTGTAAATCATACTGTCATGGATACCAGTACATTTCACTGTTAAATTACACTGTCATGTATACCAGTACAGTTCACTGTAAATCATACTGTCATATATACCAGTACATTTCACTGTGAATCATACAGTCGTGTATACCGGTACATTTCACTGTAACTTATACAGTCATGTATACCAGAACATTTCACTGTAAATTATACGGTCATGTATACCAGTACATTTAACTGTGAATCATACCGTCATGTATATCGGTACATTTCACTGTAAATTATACAGGCATGTATACCAGTACGTTTCACTGTAAATTCTACAGTCATGTATACCAGTACAGTTCACTGTAAATCATACTGTCATATATACCAGTACATTTCACTGTTAATCATACCGTCATGTATACCGGTACATTTTACTGTTAAATTATACTGTCATGTATACCAGTTCATTTCACTGTTAAATTATACATGACTGTATAATTTACGGTGAAATGTACCGGTATACATGACTGTATAATTTAACAGTGAAATGCACTGGTATACATGACAGTATGATTTAGAGTGAAATGTACTGGTATACACGACTGTATAATTTACAATGAAATGTACTGGTATACATGGCGGTATGATTCACAGTGAAATGTACTGGTACACCTGACGGTATGATTCACAGTGAAATGTACTGGTACACCTGACGGTATGATTCACAGTGAAATGTACTGGTATAAATGACGGTATGATTCACAGTGGAATGTACTGGTATACATGACTGCATAATTTACAGAGAAATGTACTGGTATACATGAATGTATAATTTACAGTGAAACGGACTGGTAAACATGACTGTATAATTTACAGAGAAATGTACTGGTATACATGACGGTATAATTTACAGTGAAATGTGCCGGTATACATGACAGTATAATGTATAATTTACCAGTGAAATGTACCGGTATACACGACTGTATGATTCACAGTGAAATGTACTGGTACACCTGACGGTATGATTCACAGTGAAATGTACTGGTACACCTGACGGTATGATTCACAGTGAAATGTACTGGTACACCTGACGGTATGATTCACAGTGAAATGTACTGGTATACGTGACTGTATAATTTACAGTGAAATGTACTGGTATACATGACAGTATAATTTACCAGTGAAATGTACTGGTATACATGACTGTATAATTTACAGAGAAATGTACCGGTATACATGACAGTATAGTTGATGACTTACAGAGAAATGTACATGACGGTATAATTTACATGTTTTCTAGATTCCTATAGGCTAGTGATGTTCATCATAACAGCCATCAACACTCTTTTAAAAACACGGTCAAACTGTGTACATAAAACAGATTTGTAGTTGTTGGCACTCCTCACCTTGACAGCAAGTTTATACTAATTTTAACTTTATTGGCGACCACATGGACAATACTCATCTTACACATGCTTCAAATGCTGGCAACATAATCCACGCCTTATCCATACAAATGTACTTTAAAAAGAAAATTGAAATTGATAGTCTGAAAGTTGGATTTTTAGCTTCCTATTTTATTTTCCATATCAATAGGAATATTGAATCTGTTTTCTTACTCATTTGTAGTACACACATGAATTGTGTTTGTCAGCATCAATCAATCATAGTAAAGCTTTGCTAGAAAATGCAAAACAGACATAGGAATATGACATAATCGAACAAGGAGCAAAGGAACAACGATACATTTATATTTATGGGAAATTTCACAATTTTAAATGACTGCTATATATAACATGAGGAAATATTTTAACAATTGTAAACCTCTGTGTATACTACAGAAGAAATTCTTCATACTCAATTTACAACATCAAAATAACATTTATATAACATAATACCACACTAAAAAGAATTGGTTATCATGTGTTTTTAGAAGCTTATCAGATGTCTACTGGACAGAAATACTTACTAATATGCCGGCCTTGGAAAGCTTTGACTGTTCCGAGTTCTGAACGTGAGTGTGAAGCATGTTGCTATATGTTGGGTAACTTCACGGTCTAAGTCATTGTCACTAGAATAAAACAATGTGTGTACTCCTCAGTATAAGGAGTTAATAATCTCATACAGAAGATGTGTGCCAAACATGTTATGTAATTCTGATCGTGTTTTAGAAATGTTAGAAATCCAGGTCATCCTCTGTAACAGTGTGTCTGTAATAGGAAGTATGAGTGAGGGAATGCTACGTCTTCCCTAGAATCCCGATCAGTCTTTATTGTGCTACACTGTGGAGAGAGTGTTGTTCTTGTGAGTGATGTTTGTAAGTGAAACATATTTGTAATTTCCTTTGGCTTAGACAGTCTATTGTTTAAAACTACTGTATCATCACTTGAAATTAAATTTTGTTTTAAAAAGGTAATCTAGATATTTTGTATTGTTTTATGTTGATAATTAATGTTGACAATTGGTTGACACTGTATAACAGTTTTATTGTGTTTTGAGTACAATTTGTTTGGAGACGGCCATGTCAGATTGAAGTATTATGATACAGCCACTTTATCCTTATTAAACCCCAACATGTGTGACAGCATAGCTTACAACCTATCCAGTTCGAAACCCTGGCTATGTAATGGACATCCATGGTAGAAAGTATCACAACATCAGTCTGACCAACCCCATCACTAAGGTAGCAGTGTACAGTAGAAATGGCTTGACCCATAATATAAAGGGCATGTCTCAGATAAACATGGATAGTGAATTCAACCTGCACACCACACCTACATATATATACAAATGTACATATTTATAAACTACATTTTGATTCCATTTTGTTTAGAAGACTGATTTTTTTTTTCAAAAACTGTTTTCCCCTGACTTCTGAAAACCATGGTTACCACATCAAAAAACACCAAAATATGCAAAACAAAAATGGAATTTTAATCCAAAATTTGACCCCCGTAAGTAGCAACTTTTTTCTTAAAACCTGTCTGAAATTAAATACCGCCTACTCGGTAACAGAAATACTCACGTTTAAGCATAGGTCATTCCGGTGGATTTTTTCACAATATTTACACATGTGCCGAGTACAAAAATAGACAACATGAAAAGCTGGCTTTTGTTGTGTAGACAGATTTGTAAATGCTCAAAACTGTAGTCTCAAACCAAATTCGATTTTTTTTTAAATCATGAAGTCCACAAAGTCCACTTCATCATGTATATGCCAATTTTAGTGCTGATTATTTTTTTAAATGTTGATACATGTTATATTACAGGGGTTATTCGTTGTATAAATATATCACCCATGGCCATTGTACGCTATTGTACACTGCTACCTAAAAGAGTTTTACCACAAGAGTGATGTACCAAACTAAAATACAATAGAGTATTTTCTAGAAGATATTACTGTAATTTGTAAGTCATCAGGAGTGTTCTGACTGGTTTGATTTCCCCACATAGATAAGCAATATATCTAGGCTCTGGTGTTTACTTATACAGGTTAACAAACAGCAAAAAGAAGCAATAAAATATTTTTATTCACATTGTCTATCAAGATATTCCACTATCATATTTTAGAAAACAGTTCAAAAGAGTCCATAACATATGTTGGTTTGACATCTGGACCGTCTATTTTGTCCAGGGCTCCAGATCCTGTCAACACGAGGACGGAGTCCACCCCTATATTGTTGGCAAAGGCAATGTCGGACCGAAGGCCATCACCTATGAACACTGTCCGGCTGAGGTCGATATCCGGATGCTTATGTCGGATACAGTCTAGTAAGAGCGTTCCTGGCTTGCCAACCACTAAGGGCTCCCGTTTTGCCGGTACTGATATTGCCTGTATTAACGCACCAGTAGTGGGCTGCACCCGCCCACTTCCAATCTTTACGGCTGTCTCCACTACATTAGTAGCCACATAAAGACACTTTGGATCTCTGAGATAGCTCAGGGCCTTAAAGATCTTGTTGTAGTGAAAGTGTTCATCAAAACCAACCAGCACTGCTTGCACGTTATCTCTAAATTCCATTTGAAGTAGTTGTTTCGGGTCCCAGGATGCCTGGTCAGGATCTGGTCCTGCTCCAAAACTTTCTAATCTGTATTTGTCTAGTTCTTGCTTCATACCTTGCCCACCAACTACATATACTTTCCCCTCCACCTTAGCAATGTGTCGCAAATATACTGCGGCGGCATTGGCCACACCAAAAATGTCAGATTCGTTTGCTTCAAATCCAACTTCTTTGAATTTATTGACATAGCGCTCGTTTGAATGCATGCTGTTGTTTGTCACAAACAACAGATGCTTGCCGATGGTCCGTAATTTATATATTGCCTCTGGAACATTTGGAATTTCGGTCACATGATCGGTACCATACAGTGTCCCGTCACAATCCAACATGAACGTGTCGTATGATTGTAAGAAGTGATCTAGATTGTTCTGAGTCAGATGTCGGACGTTTGACGCATCTGTCGTAAACGGACGACTATGACGGGCACCTGCAGGCCTATTATAGGCAACAAGTCCAGTCCATGATTTGCACTGTGCCGCAAGTTCCCAACATATCCGACCTATAGTCAACCTCGAGAGCATCCTGAGCTTCAGATCCTAGACAGTGCTAGCTTGCGACTGTCAATTCTTCACACTCCGATCAAAATACTATATCATTACACTATATTCATCAAGATTTTATAAGAGTCACCATGTATTAGCTACTTGCATCCGAACACTTCAAGACGATATTTGGGTTAACTAATTTTCAGAACGGTGTATAATTAAGTACATTGTATCAAACGTTAACCCTTTTAAATGTTTTAAATATAAACTTGTTATACAGTTTACATACGGAATATTTTTTTACTGAAATTTGTTGTAAAAACAAAAGCTAAAAAAATAGTTTCGTATATATTTCCGTTTCAATTAAAAATACCGATTCGTAAAATATATTGATTTTCGCTAATCGTTGTTATTAATATACTTGAAAGTCAATTCGCTGTTTCAAAGTAGTAAAGCGTTGTAGTGATCACTTTCAGTTTGAACTATGAGGCGGCCAAATTGAAAAATTCAGTTTTGTTTTGATTGAAAAGCGAATGACACATGGATATTTTCAGGTAATTCTGTGGCAGAATCCCGGCAATTGCATTAACTGATCAGAAAGTTATGTTGTTTATAAATGATATATCTCGTAAATCTTACCTTAAACCGTTAAGCTAGTAATGAGCATGAACAGGTGCCCGCGATTTGAGACGTTCAGCTAAACCAAGACGGCTGGCACGATTTACCCAAAAACACCCCAAAACATCCCGATAAGACCATAAAAACCACAGACGACACTTAAATAATATTCAGTTAATATTATAATGTGGTAACCTAATTTTCTGCATCAATTTTTCAATTTCAAAGTATTTTATTGACAATACATATATAATACAAACATATAAGTTAACATTAAAGGAGATATTTGAACATCAACTGTCGACTCAACAAAGGCGACCATGCCTGACTCAGACCCCTAAAACTCGCTCGTTTTTGCATTCACAGCAAAATCATTGCTTGGGTCCAAAATTTTCTCCTTGACCGTAGTCAGAAAGTTGCTGTAAGTATTAAGTACCACCAAATCTTCGTCCTGTCCTGTCCTCTCTGGAGTCCCCCAAGGCTCGGTCATGGGGGCCCGCCTTTTTCTAATCTATATAAATGATCTACCAGACTATCACAAGCCAAGTTAGACTTTTTGCAGACGACACTGTTGTCTATGTAACTGTTTCATCCGACTCTGATGCAGAAACACTACAAAAAGACTTACATCTTCTGGAAAAGTGGGAACAAAATTGGTTAATGTCCATCAACCCTGATAAATGTGAAATTCTACACATCTCAAAGAAAATACTGACACACAATTTTAATTACATTCACCATGGACAAATTCTAAAACAAGCAGATTCAGCTAAATACCTGGGCTTAACTATCATTAAAAACACACATTGAATACTGTAGCCCCATCTGGGATCCATGGCAGGCAAATCTTACCCATAAGGTTAGAAATGGTGCAGAGAAGAGCCACCAGGTACACCCTCGGGTGCTATAACTACATCAGTAGTGTTACAGAAATGCTCCAAACCCTGAACTGGCAATCCCTTGAACAACGCCATAAAAATGACCTCCACCATATTACTATATAAAATCATAAACAGCCTTGTGGCTTATGATGGCAACCTCCTAGTTCTCCAGTGAACCCGACAACACAAATTCCAGATTCCGCACAGCTCCACAAATTATCATGCAAATTCATTCTTTCCTAGAGCAATTCATACCTGGAACAGCCTCCCAACTTTCATAGCCGACAGTGCAGACCTCTCAACACTGAAGGCAAATCTCCCCTCTCACAAATTCTAAGCGTACATGTTGTTTTTATCGTATAGTTCTAAAAGAACCTAAAAAAAACCTTGTTTTTTACCAATCTTTCTGATGCCTCTAATTAATGTTCAGTATATTGAACGTTTTAAAGTATCCTGTTGAAGTTGAAGTTCTCCAATTCGAAATTTAAATGAAAACTTCAATTTCAATCAAATCACCAGAAGGACAGAATGTTGCATGTTATGTCATTTATGGGAATTGGTTTTACAGATGTAAATGGACTCTCAATCATTTAAGTTCTAATTTTTGCACATGGTTCGTATTCATGCAACTATTCTCATGCTCAAGCATGGTTTCTGTTCTCAAGTCAACTTTCTTGAACCTCGCTAAATTATGTGTCACAATAAAATAGTTTGTGTTTAATAAGATTACAGTTTATAGTCTATCCAATTTTCCATATTTTTATGTACAAAATGTGATTTTATTTATTAATATATCTCCAGAATAAGAAATTGGGTTTGAGCACAGAATGTGAGTTTGAGCATGAGAACGGTTTCGTGAGTATGGGTCAAGGACTTAAATGGCTCATTAGTTATTGAATATTCTAATACAAAACTTGGACTTTGTTTTATTTGGATATTATTCTGTTTTCACCTCACTTAAATCAGGGACTAAGAAAAAAGTTATTTCATTCATCAGCAAATGATTTGATAGGGACCCTGGAAATATGTAAAATGATAGGGACCCTGGAAATATTGACAAGATGGTAAATACCTACGATACTTTCACAAGAATTGCTGTAAAAGTTGACCCCAGGAAAACTGGAGTTAAGTACTTTCCTGTACGGGGATTGAGTATATGTTACCCTGATAAAATACTAGCTGCACATGCTTTATCTTTTAACAGAGGTCATTATTTTGTCAATGCCTCCACTAGAAGGCGAACTAGGGATCTCTGGATTTTTACTAGTCTTCCGCTCTAATAAATGAACTTAAGAGAAATTCTCCCTAGCCGAGTCGGTAGGCAGCGGCTAGTATTTGACCAGGGTGACATATCTTACTGACCAGATTAGGGAGAACCTCTGAAGAAACTAAAAATGAAACAGAGGACAAACATTGACTGGAACAGCAGTTTCAACTGTATGTGACTGTTGGTGATTACAGTGTGCATTGATGATTAGGTCGCCTTACAAGATCAGCTGTAGAGCCAAGCTTCGAGCCCCAGTGACAGCACAATCTTTATCACTATTCCTCGTCCTACTACACATGTAAAAGCTCAGAATATGGTCTGTCTTCACATTGTCTAATAAAAGAGAAAGGACAATTCTAGATTTTAAATGCATATCATTCCAAAAGAATGAATGAAAAGATTTTATTATATAATTACTTAGGAATAAGAAGAGAACAGTTTTGTCAGTAGCAGATGAACATTCACAGTCTCCAAAGAGCCACAAAAAGAAAAAAGATGGATCTTCCAAAGTATTGGCAGCAAAAACGAAGAATGAACTACAATATCAGTACAGTGATGAAGAGTTTGTGTGCAGTTCATCAGACTCGCAGCCAAGCAGTGAGGAGGAGACAGGTATATTGTTTCCTGAAAGTTACAACCCCTCGGAATGGTTATAGTAAATGTTTTGTAATATTTATACTTGATAAGTGTACATACTTTGCTTTCTTGTGAAGAATTTATTGTAATTAGTTACAAGGCTGTAGCTAGGCTGTTTCACCTTGTGTATATGTAACTCCAAATATTGTCCTTGTTTATCAATTATTTCTTCTAAATATAGATTCCTCCGGGGATGACATGAATCAGGCCAGTCAGACACAGCGGACTCTGGCGCGCCGACTCACGCGTAGGGAAAAACAACGTGAGGAGCTCATCAGGAAAAAGAAGGAACAAAGTATATATATATACATGTATGACTATTTACAAGAAGATCTCTCTATAGGAAGGAACGCATTTTGTAATACTGTATACAGTGTATCTTTTCCTGTTGAAGTGTTGTCACACTTGAAACCAAAATTTTCATGCTTGGGGAGCCCCTGCAGAATCAGGGGTGGTTTTTTTAATCCTTGTATTTTTTCAGGGGACATTGAGGAAAACAAGAATAGACCTGTCGTATCCCACTGCCTGTGTAAAGTTAAAGGCGACTAATGTTGGGGGGGGGGGGGGGACCCTGTAGAATCAGGAATTTTCTTCCTATCTTCTATGAAGGGGACATTGAAGAGACCAAATTGTTATGTTGCCCCTATTGCAACACTCAGGACAATTTTCATTTCCTATCTTTCCTGTCTTTTTCTTTTCTATCTACTTTCTGTTTCAGACAGTGTCTCCCTAGGCACCTGTCCTCATATGACTCTGGCTGTTGCAAGGACGTTAAAACCCCAAACAAACAAACAAAACACAATTGTATTACATGTATATTAGATGTAATCTGATGAAAAGGACTTACAGTAGATACCTGGTCTGGGTTAGTTTGATGACAAAGCTGCTGTTTAAATGTGTATTACAATTTTTTTAATTTCAATTCTGATTATATACACAAATATGCATGATTACCATTTATAAACAAACAACATATGTGCTCCTTGCCTAGAGATTAGCAATATTTTCTAGTAAAATCTTTATATTTTTGGTACAATAGTGTTACTTAGTACAATGGTGTACAAATCAGACTTGACTTTAAATGAAAATCCATGGAAAGTTGTTTTTCTTGTGCATTCTTGTTAAATGAAAAGCTGATTTCATATTTGTTGGCCTTGATGTTTAACAGAAACGGATGTGTATATTTATGCCTGGAAAAGCTTGTGATATTGATACAGATTATGATTATTTTTGAAATAACAGAGAAATAGTTTTGAGTTGGCCAATGTCACAATACATCAATAAAAGTTCAATACTTACAGGTACACTATATATACATATTGACTACCAATAAACTTTTTTTATCAATAAATTTGTTTGATTTCAAAATACATATTACTAAAAGTTCAACATCTTGTATTGTTTTATAGACAAGATATCAATGGATGACTTCCTAAACAAACAAGTCGAATTTCACACCTGGATAGAGGAGGAGGTAAGAGGTTTATATCTTGGCACGTTAACTCAGTGACTAACAGAAGCTTTGCATAACATCTGTAGATAGGATGTGAGAAAATAGTTTAACATACATGATTAAAAACTGAGTTCAAATGAAGTATTAAACTGTTACTATTTGGTAGTTACATTTCTATAACTCTGATCAGGAGTTTCTGACAAATCGACATAACCTGTCTGGCTACTTTACAGTAGTTTTTATACTTTTTAATTTCCATCTTTTAAGAAATACATATATTATAACACAACAGCTCAACACGTTTGCAGTAAATGTTGAGAAACTTACAGGGCTATATATATTATCATTTAAAGTTTTAGAAAAAAACCACATTGGAAAGTTTTAAACAATACTTGAAATTATATCCATTTGTTTCTTAAGGTGAGCACAGTTATTGAGCTGCTTTAATTTAAGATAAGATCATTAGTCATAAAGAAATCAAGTTATAAAGAAATCATCCTTTTTTTTTTAAAATAATTTCAGTTGTTGACCAGGGGAGACAACTCTGTCTGTCTTACTGTAATTTGTCGTCCATGGTTACAAAAAAATAATACAGTGGGATGATTTTTTTAGAAACACAAGCTTTACAATCAGATATCATCTCCCAAGAAGAAAGTTTACTTCAAGACATTTATGAAGCTCTGGAACAAAAGAAAATTGTCACAGGTATGTTTTCTAGTGGACAAATAAAGATTAAAGTTCATTCTAGAATTATTTAAATTTAGTGGTGTATCAAATCCTATTAAATTCCTGTTATTTTAGCCTCCCTATAGATAGCATGAGTTGTCTAGGTTTGGTAGGAATTTCTCAAGAAACTTGGAAAAGTGATCTCTGTTACATTTGCAAAGTGATGTTAATTCATCGACTGTATTTCTAATTCTACCATACTTCACATTGTAAATAGTACATTCTAATTCTACCATACTTCACATTGTAAATAGTACGTTCTAAATCTACCATACTTCACATTGTAAATAGTACGTTCTAATTCTACCATACTTCACATTGTAAATAGTACGTTCTAATTCTACCATACTTCACATTGTAAATAGTACGTTCTTATTCTACCAAACTTCACATTGTAAATAGTACGTTCTAATTCTACCATACTTCACATTGTAAATAGTACGTTCTAATTCTAACAGAAATATTTACTGTGGTGTTATCTTAACAGAAATATTACCGAGGGTCTCAGGAGATCAAGAGTCCCCCCCCCCTGTCACATTGTAAATAGTACATTTTAATTCTTACAAAAATATTACCGAGGGTCTGAGGAGATCAAGAGTCCCCCTGTCACATTGTAAATAGTACATTTTAATTCTTACAGAAATATTACCGAGGGTCTCAGGAGATCAAGAGTCCCCCCCTGTCACATTGTAAATAGTACATTTTAATTCTTACAGAAATATAACCGAGGGTCTGAGGAGATCCAGAGTCCCCCCCCCCTGTCACATTGTTAATAGTACATTTTAATTTTTACAGAAATATTACCGAGGGTCTGAGGAGATCCCGAGTCCCCCCCCCCTGTCACATTGTTAATAGAACATTTTAATTTTTACAGAAATATTACCGAGGGTCTGAGGAGATCCCGAGTCCCCCCCCCCTGTCACATTGTTAATAGTACATTTTAATTTTTACAGAAATATTACCGAGGGTCTGAGGAGATCCCGAGTCCCCCCCCCCTGTCACATTGTTAATAGAACATTTTAATTTTTACAGAAATATTACCGAGGGTCTGAGGAGATCAAGAGCCACCCCTGTCACATTGTAAATAGTACATTTTAATTCTTACAGCAATATAACCGAGGGTCTGAGGAGATCCAGAGCCCCCCCCTGTCACATTGTTAATAGTACATTTTAATTTTTACAGAAATATTACCGAGGGTCTGAGGAGATCAAGAGTCCTCCCTGTCACATTGGAAATAGTACATTTTAATTCTTACAGAAATATTACCTAGGTTCTGAGGAGATCAAGAGTCCTCCCTGTCACATTGTAAATAGTACATTTTATTTCTAACAGAAATATTACCGAGGGTCTGAGGAGATCCAGAGCCCCCCCCCCCTGTCACATTGTAAATAGTACATTTTAATTTTTACAGAAATATTACCGAGGGTCTGAGGAGATCCAGAGCCCCCCCCTGTCACATTGTTAATAGTACATTTTAATTCTTACAGAAATATACCCGAGGGTCTGAGGAGATCCAGAGTCCCCCCCCCCCCTGTCACATTGTAAATAGTACATTTTAATTCTTACAGCAATATAACCGAGGGTCTGAGGAGATCCAGAGTCCCCCCCCCTGTCACATTGTAAATAGTACATTTTAATTCTTACAAAAATATTACCGAGGGTCTGAGGAGATCAAGAGTCCCCCCCCCCTGTCACATTGTTAATAGTACATTTTAATTCTTACAGAAATATACCCGAGGGTCTGAGGAGATCCAGAGTCCCCCCCCCTGTCACATTGTAAATAGTACATTTTATTTCTAACAGAAATATTACCGAGGGTCTGAGGAGATCCCGAGTCCCCCCCCCCTGTCACATTGTTAATAGTACATTTTAATTCTTACAGAAATATTACCGAGGGTCTGAGGAGATCAAGAGTCCTCCCTGTCACATTGTAAATAGTACATTTTAATTCTTACAGAAATATTACCGAGGGTCTGAGGAGATCCAGAGTCCCCACCTGTCACAGAACACTGGAAACTTCAATGTGTTTGATGAGCCTGATGAATTCTCACACCTCACTGCCATCAAACGACCCAAGTCAAAGCGACTTTCTGTGGAGAATGGCGGATTCCTGGATTCTCCTTTCTCTACATTTGGAAAGACACCTCCAAAACTCCAGCATCAAATCAGTGACAAGGAGAACTCTACACCTGTTGTAAGTCAAAGGAGGAATATTACTGTGTGAATTATTACCATCCTATTCAGAAGAGAATTCCTTTCCAGATGTTTTTAATTGCACAGTTCTTATAATGTTTTTTGTTCAAATCTTTTGAATAATATCGGTTTGCAAGTGAAAAGGCACAGTTTTTCTTCTTTTTTATTTTTAGAGATAGTGTTCCTTATATTCTCAATCTGAAATGTAATATCAGGTATGGAAATGTCTATTTTCTAACAGTTGCAACAGAAAAGTAACACATAACTGGAATTTCTTACTGCACACATTGTAATGACAGTGTTCACCTGTATTCATCTGCACATCCCTCAGAACAATCTCTCATTTTCTATTTTATATGTTACAGAGACCAGTACGTACGTTTGCCTCTCCGACACTTAGAACCATTAAGAACAGCCATGTGTCACCTATTTTGGTAAGTTTCAGTAAAAATGGTTAAGCTTACCTAGTCTAGAGAGCCAAGTGAGCTGTTGCCACAGTGCAGTATCTGTGTCCGTCATTCTGTCAACTTCTCCATGAAACACTAATAATTCAGAACTGCTGAGGGGGTTTGACTAAATTTGGCAGCAATCATTCTTAAGGTGAAGGTAATATTATATGTTGTAAAAACATAAATGTGCGGCCCCAGACCAAAGTGTATTAGTTAGCACCTGAATAACAAGTCTAGTTACACTGGAATCGACTTGTATGTCTGTCTGTCTGTCCATAGAGAAAATGATGTCCATATAAATCATTCTTAACTACTAAGCTGATTTCAATCAAACTATATACATGATCAAACCATGGTGAAATTGCACACATTGTATTTATTTTTCAGTTTCGACTTTTCCCCCCAGAGTTATTGCCCTTTTTTAAGCTCATTCTAGATAAATTATCTATAACTATCTGACCAGTTACAATGACATTTTCTCGTAGTATTACATAAGGATAAACTTAATCTCAAGTTGCAGGTTTCACTTTTCTGAATTCAAAATGGCTGCCATAGCCACTGATTGGCTGAAATAATTATAGTCATACCTGAAGTTCTATTGGCCTGACTCTGTTGATACTTTGTGAGAGTGATAGGTCATGCTTTACTTAAAATAGCCAACTTCTAAATTCATTGACCTAAGATGGCCTGTAATTAGTTCATGCAGTTAATGTAATAGCTCATGTTCTATTGGGCTTTGTTGGGCTTTGTGGTAGTATACCTTGAATATATACTCTATCTTAATTGATCGACTAATGACCTCTTTTTTGGCAAATTTGATTGACAGCATAGTGTGATCCTCCATAGCTGTATATACTGTACAATGATGCCTTGCTCTCAATGTATACCGAGATATATGATTTTACCTTTACAGGAGTTGAGCGAGTACCAGATCCCCCTCAACTCTGTCCGTGTTCCATCACTCAGTAGTAACGAGGACATCAACTGTGCTGCTAACAGCAGGTACAAAATACTCTTCACTCTCAACACAACCACATACCTACACCACACATAAGCTCCCAAACACCCACACTCTTACACCACACACAAGCTTCCTACCAACCACACTCTTACACCATACACAAGCTCCCTAACACCCACACTCTTACACCATACACAAGCTCCCTACCAACCACACTCCTACACCACACACAAGCTCCCTACCAACCACACTCTTACACTACACACAAGCTCCCTACCAATAACACTCTTACACTACACACAAGCTCCCTACCAATAACACTCTTACACTACACAAAAGCACCCTAACACCCACATTCTTTACTCTTACACCAAAATAAGCTGTGTTGCTGGCGAAAGTTACAAAATATACCCATTCAGAATTTGCAAAGTATTCAAACTGAAATTACAGCTCCAAAAAAATACATGTTTGTTAAATTCAATTACAATACTGTGAGTTTTGACATTCCTTTTACAAGAGGGATGCTTATATAACACAATAAATATACAAAGCTCATGTCTATAATGACCCAAGACTTTACCAAATGCTGCTTTGTTAAATTAAAAGTAGAATCACAACTTTATGTTACATTGCAGGCTCATCCACCCTTATTCAGTGATGCCATTACCATGGGTTACAGACAGTGACACGTCATCTGTCAAATCAGAAATAACTGATGATGAAGATCACTCTAAGATGACCCAACCTGTGACTTCTGTAGTGTATGCTCTGCCGCGTAAAATTCCGACAAAGAAAGCCATTGTACAAGAGAAAAAGTCCTCCCAGCCTCCTCCTGTTCCTCCTAAGCCTCGTTCTGGATTAGTAAACTATAGCTCCTCTGTGGACTCAAACTCTGGCTACAATGTCATATACCCCCGGTCAGCTCCTGACTCAGTCAGTATAGGATCTGGCCAGTCTGGAGTTGGACATAGACCTATGGTGGATTGCCGAAGCAACAGGTCATCACTGTCTGATCCTGGTCAGAGAAATGTATACCAATCTTTGGACTCCATCAGCTTGAACTCCGTAGAATCAGATCCTGGATACAGAGTTATCCCTCCTTGTCCTGCTACAGATGACCACAGCACCAAATCTATGTCTTGTTCTAGTTCTGTTATAGAGAGTGATGAGGACCTGCCGTTGCCCCCACCCCCGGAAATACCATCCCTGCTCCTGGATTACACACAGTCAGACCTACCTCCTCCTCCAGACTCCTTGTTACCAGACATCTCCAAGTGTAATACCCAGGACTTTCCAAGTGTTCCCATAAAGATCATAGATAGTTCTCTTAAGGATCAGGTTACTGATGTTTCAAACAATAAGGTAAAGAAACCTGTAGATCAGAAAAGTGATGATACAAAGTCAATGAGCGGAAGGTTTGCTGAAAGTCACACCACTAACTCTGTAGCTCACCAACCCATCATAACGAACCTACAATCCTCATCAGTTGTAAGTCCACAGAAGGGCAGTCTGGGATGGTGCCGTGCAGTGACAGCCAAACCCTTTACAGCTCTCACGCGTACAGTGTCCAAAGTCACACTCCTACAAGGCCCTGACAGTGACCCCTACAATAGCCTTCCACTGCAGGATCGACAGCCACAGCAAAGGGAGGTAAACATTTATCACCGAAGTGGAATCACAAGCTGTGATGTTAGGACTGATATGACTGAAAGTGTTACCTTTGGTAATGGTTGCCTGAAACTAGATGTTCTAAGGAAGGGGACACCAGGTGTCAAACCTGTTATATGTGACAGTATCACTGCTGATAAGTTTGAAATGTCGACGCACAGTCATAAGGAAGGAGAGAAAACATATGTAAGGAAGGAGTCCATTGCTAATCAGGACAGCCCTGGTACCACAGGAGCAGAGACAGTAGACAAAGTTATGTCCCCTAGGTATGTGGAATTTGACCCTATCAGAAAAACAACTGTAGAGGCTGTACCCTCTAGGCAGAACAACCATGGTACCGCTAACATAGACACTGGTGACGAAGTTGTGTCCCCTGGGTATGTGGAACTTGATGCTTCCAGAAATACAAATGAAGGAATGGTGTCTTCTAGGCAGGACAGCCCTGGCACCACAGAGACTGGTGACAGAGTTGTGTCCCCTGGGTATGTGGCGTTAGACAGCATTAAGTCCATGAATCCTATCATTTCTTCAGATGCCAGTAGAACTGCTGTCTCTCATTTACCTATGTATGCAGTACCTAAGGAAGTGTGTCTGTCCTCACTCCCCACACACACCAGTGCTGCTAAGGTTTGGGGTAGTGTAGGAACAGTGTCCAGTGTGTCTGACTACATGAGTATGGATGTTAGGAGTCAGGAGGTTGAAAACACTCCAGGGTTTACCGGTAACATACTCAAAGAACCTGACGTGGAAATCAGTCCTAACGTGACAACCAGACGGGGAAGACGACGGAAGACACTTAGGCAAGGCAGCACTGTTGCAATGGAAAGCTGCCCTACCCTGGAGGAACTCAATTTATCCAGAGACATCCAGGACAGAGAATTGGTTGACAAGTTACAGGAAGAGGAATCTGTGTTTCAAACCAAAGACTGTACTTTACAAATAGAGAACCACATGTTTACACATCTCAACAATAGACATCATTCAGACAAATCAGATTTTATTATAGAAACACATTCCAGTAGCTTTGGTATAGATTCCTCTAATGATGCAAAACAACAATTCTATAAAGAACAATTACAGGGGTCACTTAGTACAGACCCACAACCACCAATGTCACTTAGTACAGGGCAAGAACCACCGAGCTCTCTTAGTACAGACCAGCAACCAGCGTGGTCACTTAGTACAGACCAGCAACCAGCGTTGTCACTAAGTACAGACCAGCAACCAGCAAGGTCTCTTAGTACAGACCAGCAGCCACCGATGTCACCTAGTACAAACCAGCAACCAGCGAGGTTTCTAAGTACAGACCAGCAACCAGCAGGGCTACTTAGTACCAACAAGCAACCAGCAAGGCTACTTAGTACTAACCAGCAACCCCCAAGGTGTCTTAGTACAGATGAGCAACCAGCAAGCTTACTTAGTACAGACCAGCAGCCACTGATGTCACCTAGTACAGACCAGCAACCAATGAGGTCTCTTAGTACAGACCAGCAGCCACCGATGTCACCTAGTACAGACCAGCAACCAGCGAGGTTTCTTAGTACAGACCAGCAACCAGCGAGGTTACTTAGTACAGACCAGCAACCAACAAGGTTACTTAGTACAGACCAGCAACCAGTGAGGTCACTTAGTACAGACCAGCAACCAGCGAGGTTACTTAGTACAGACCAGCAACCAGCGAGATTACTTAGTACAGAACAGCAACCTCCAAGGTCTCTTAGGACAGACAATCAACCAGCTGATTCATCTAGAATTAATCATACAGCAATTCATTCTACAAGCAAAATGAAAACTGCCAGTAGTGTGTTTCCAGATAGTATAGAAGAGGCGATCTCATATTGTAAGGTCACCAGCTCAGTCTCCTCTCCTGTGGTGGCTCAGTGTAACTTAAACCCTATACACATATTTGATCCACGAAGTAAAAAAGGTCATGTCAGAAATGCCTCTATATCAGCACCTAAATGGGCTTCAAGCTGTGTACAGACTGCACACTATCCTGATCATCCACCAAGTAAAAGTGTCAGAAATCCCTCAGTATCAGCTCCTAAGTTTGTTCCTGATAATGGAAAACCTCTACACAATGCTCATCCACCTGTTAAAAGTGTTCATCTGAGAAATCCCTCATTGTCAGCTTCACAACAGATGACACCTTGTTCTCTAACTGTTCTCACTCAAAGTCCACGAAAAATACAGAATTTCCGCAATCGCATACCATCCAAAAAAAATCCTGTAGCAAATGGGGACAAAAAGCCAGACAATCAGATTTGCCACTTTCCTCAGGCACCAGGTGCTCCAAAACAAGCCAGCACGGTGAACTCACAGACTGTCTGTAGAGGGAATGTTGTGGAGGATAGGATGGAAATGTTAGAGACAGACATTGATAATGTCCCAATCACTACCCAGGGCTCACCTGATACACAAGTAGTGGAGAAATCCAGTCTACAGAGAGTAGAGTCTTCTGAGACCATCATTTGGTAGTGAATAGTGGAAGTCTGTACTGGTATCATGGTCAGAATTGTAGTCTACTGTAGCTTATAACATGTAATAGAAATGAGACTAAATATACTTTTATGATAACTTGTTTATAGTGTCTTTGGTGCTTTATATTCACTTGTAATGTTGTCTAGTTATAGGGAGTGTTGTACCTCGATACTCAGGGGTCACGCGCACTTCTTTTATCAACAAGAGTAGCTAGACTGGATGGTACCGGATCGTAACTCTTGGTTAGCGAAGATGGTTGTACCTATACTATTTAACATAAAACACTTAAACAGCCACTAGGGTTGAACATTTCTAGTGATGCTGGGATCAGGACCTTGTGGTTGTCCCTTCTCAGTATAAATACTATGTTGTTATACTCATTGATTTTCGCTCAGTATGTTATACATGGCTTATTCTCCTGTTTTTATACGACCGTCAAATTTGACGGTAGTATTATGGTATGGCGTTGTCCGTCTGTCCGTCTGGCATAACTTTGTTTGTCCGGCAATCTCCTCCTACATTTTTCGACTGATCTATTTGAAACTTGTTATACATTATAATCATGATATGAAGTTGTGTCTCCCTTAAAAGAATTTTGATTCGACAATTTTTCCAAAAGTAATTGCCCTTTGTTCATTTCAGTATTTGAATTTTGTCCGGAAATCTCCTCCTACATTTTTCAACGGATCTCTTTGAAACTTGGTATACTTTCATGATATGAAGTTGTGTCTCCCTTAAAAGAATTTTGATTCGACAATTTTTCCAAAAGTTATTGCCCTTTGTTCATTTCAGTATTTGAATTTTGTCCGGAAATCTCCTCCTACATTTTTCAACGGATCTCTTTGAAACTTGGTATACTTTCATGATATGAAGTTGTGTCTCCCTTAAAAGAATTTTGATTCAACGATTTTTGCAATATTTATTGCCTTTTGTTCATTTCAGTATATGAATTTTTGTCTGAAGATTTTCTCCCACATTTTTTATAGGATATCAGCTAACCACTCTTAGAATGATGCAGATCTTATTTCAATGTAAGAAAGTATATAACACTATATGGCATTGGACGGGCGTATTTTGTTCCACCCCGCAGTACTCTTGTTAATGGGGCCATGGCCTTTTAACTTGGATGTTTTAGGGCCAAAAAGATTAAAGGGAATAGAAGTTACTGTTCTCATGTGAGAAATAAGTGATTTCTTGAAAACACACAAACAAATTAATCATAAATGGTCATCTTAATTTAAAGAGACAATAAAAATGCCCCTCCCAATTGAACATATACAATATGAACATTGTAAGCAAGTGCTACTTCGGATCCACACACGATGATGAGGGAGCTTGGTTGTGGTGGGGGAGGGCACTTGTAGTAAGGGTCTGCATCAGAAATGTGGGTGCCCGTTATTAATGGTGTCTGTCTACACATTTGTTTCAAGAGCTAACTATGTGTACCAGAATCTAGAAGTAAATTTTACATGGTATTTGTCACATGGAACTGTTGTATGAAGATGGGAAAAGGTGGTTTACTGTTCAAATAGTTAAGTTCACTGTTACTAAAATTGAACAGAGGATGTCAAAATACTTTGTACTTTTGTATTGCTCTTTCTGATCCGCCTGTGTTAACGGGATGGTGTATGACTGACATTCAACATGAATACCATGTTACCAGGAATCCAAGATGGTCAAAGGTCAAGGTCACTGTTACTAAAAATGGATAGGGTTTTATTACCATCCAAACTACATTACATGGCTCTTTCTGACTTGTGAGAGTTTGTTTTAATTGTAAATGGTACTTTGTGGATGTTTGCGGTTGATAAATACATACTACCCTGATCCCAAATCTAAGATGGTAATCGTGTGTGGTTGTAATTTTTGTTCTATTGGTACTGTTTAAAAATTCAAATGGTACTTTGATATTCTACATAGTTAATAAGGACATATTATTCAGGGCCTATATACCAAATTGTCGCCATAGCTTCTGATTGGCTGAGACCTTTGTCGCCATAGCTTCTGATTGGCTGAGACCTTTCTGGCTGTAATGTTTGTTTTACTCGTCTAATTGTGTACATACTTAGTGGTAAATGGTACTTGTCAGATATATACCTATGTATTGAATTATTATTTATAATCATGAATTGATTATCCAAAAGATTGGTTAATATGTTTATATGTTAGTTTATGCATTAGTAAATACTTTTTAAATTTGTAGTCTTTGAAAAGCAATTGATTAAATGTATTGGAGGTCATTATTTTTTCAATGCCTCCACCAGGAATCGAACCCATGATCTCTGGTTTACTAGGCTTAGGCTCTAACAAATGAACTAAAGAGAAATTCTCCCTAGCCGAGCTGTTAGGACGCAGCTAGGGTTTTACCAGGGTGACATAAATACCAGGGTTTTACCAGGGTGACATAAATACCAGATATACCACTTGATATTCACTTGGAATTGGAAAATGCAAAAGTTGTGCTTCACTCCCTAAAAATTAACCAACTAATTTTAGTCGAGATGGCTGTCTCAATGCTGAAAACACCTCATGTTTTGTGATAAAGATAAGCAGTTTAAATCCACTAGTTACTGGGTTTTTTAAAAGGATTTGATCTTTACAATTAAAAAAACAACACCCATTAACAAATGAAGAATTACTCTGCACAACTATTGGTAATGATAGTCTTCCGTTGATCAAACAAGGCTTGTATCGGCTTTAGTTTGTAATTCTCGATCTGTTTATCTATCCTCAAAGTTGCACATTGTAATTAGGAACAATCCTTTCAAGCTGGAAAATATTGTTACTGTTTATACTTGCAGTTATGATTGAGTGTAGCCTTGCTCAAGTCCAATGAATGATTTTAGTGGGAGCAAACAGATTGAGATTATCTTCATGCCTGTTTATGTTATCCAGGTATATTATGATTGTCTGTATACTTATAACATTCCCATTATTAAGGTGCTTCCTATTTGTATTGACCCTATATGCCCTATTAGTGCTTTATGTTTTTGTTCTATTAGCGTTTATGGTACATATATTTATTTTGTATCTTTATATATATCATGTAACTTTGTTTATCATTATTAAGTACTGTATATACACATCACATGACTACTGTATATACATATCAGGTGACTACTGTATATACACATCACTGACTACTGTATATACACATCACCTGATAAATCATTGTTTGCTTTCTACCAACACCTGATATCAGTTATAATGCTGTACTAGTATGAAGTGTAGTTTTGTCTTAAGTTGATTGTCATAAAAATCACTCAAATGTATTTTTTATATACTTAACAGAATTTTATTAATAAATACATGATTTTTTTCATGACTGCACTGATATTTTTGTATTTGCACAACATGTTTTCCCACAAAATATGGAAAGGGTTTTTCCGAAATTTTCAAGCATAATAAATGTCTATTTTGATCATTTGCTTGATGATTTATATAGACAGGAAGAGTTTGTGTTAAAAGCATGAAATAACAGCATCTGGTGTAAATACTGAAAGATTTTCAAGGGTTTGTATCAAAGGTCTGGCCCGATGACCCCAGGATCTTTGTGGCAGAGTCCGCCACAAGGAGTCCATGGAATGAAATGTTTCTTGGCAGCAGTACTCTTGTTAAAAAGACTTTCTGTATGTAAAACAGCAAAAACAATATGGTGTTTTTCTTCTATTTCTTTTGATATACAAATGAGTAGAGTATATAAAGATCATGTTTGAACCAATACTTACACTACTGTATAGTAGTATATTTCCGCGGGGATGATATTTTCACGATTTCGCGATCGCGAAAATATTTTCCACAGAATAATGACAACAGTAAAAATGAGCTGCAATAATGAACGTGATAACCGTGTTGTCATGTATAGTGTGTTTGTCGCTGTAAAGATTTGATATAGGTTTTATCACACATCTAATAGTTTTACTGGTGATTTGTTGAACAAAATACAATCACTTGTTGCTCAATAAGTCTATTTATTTGACAATTTATATGCCAACTGTCCGTCTCTGTTCTAAAATAACGGGGAAAGGGTTTTTTGGGTCATAAATAACCCGCTATACGGTACTGTGTACGTACGTGTGTTGTACCTTGTATGATCCAGTAGTAGACGTAAAAGTAAAAATGTTTACTTGATCTGGTTGTTTGTAAGCTGCATTGTGTTTGTATAGCAAATGTGGATAGTAATGCAAGTTAAATTAAAAAGCCTATTGTTAAAAGTTAAAAACACAAATGAGAACAGAGGTCTATCACATAGTTCCGGCCGGAAACGTAGTGATGCAAGGTTTTGGGCTTCTGAGCACTTCATCAGGGATAGGATGGTCCTCTCCTACTGTACAAACTTCCTGTTTTCAAATATGGATGTGACATTAGCACGAGGACCATTCGATCCCTGATGAAGCCTGGAAGCTTGGCTTGGTTTGATTTGGTTTTAAGTCCTATCAACATTTAAGGTCATGCCTTCATGTGGATATGTGTGTCCGAGGCAGGGTGTGTTGGTGTACAGTAATTTGACATGTGTGTCCGAGGCAGGGTGTGTTGGTGTACAGTAATTTGACATGTGTGTCCGAGGCAGGGTGTGTTGGTGTACAGTAATTTGACATGCGTGTCCAAGGCAGGGTGTGTTTGTGTACAGTTATTTGACATGTGTGTCCGAGGCAGGGTGTGTTGGTGTACAGTAATTTGACATGTGTGTCCCAGACAGGGTTTGTTGGTGTACAGTTATTTGACACTCTAGAAATGGACATTGAATGACTGGTTGTAATAATCTGAATGTCAAACGATTCTGAAATGTTACTGGGAAAGGGATTCCAATCCCAAGTACTGAAATATAACAGAGAGTAGATTAGCAATGCCCTCTCCCCTGTTAAGGAGGAGAGTGACAATGTATCATAACTTGTTTTAAATTGATCGTTTTTGTTTGCCGCTTAGAGTGTGGACAGGAGTGCTTTAAAATTGACGTGGAATAGACAACTCTGCTCATGTATTCAACAACGAACGAAGTCAGGAAGTACCAATTTGCTGTACCATCCAGACTTTTTGCTGTACCATCTGTACCATCTAATCATTTTTGCTGTACCATCTGTACCATCTAATCATTTTTGCTGTACCATCTAGACCATCTGGCCAATTTTTGCTGTACCATCTGGCCATGAAGGTTTATAAGAGAGAGTTTACAGAATTTGGTGACTTGTTAGAAAGTCGTTTTGATAGGTATATATGTCACGATGCCATAGCGTGTAACATTCATGCCCAGTCTAAAACAGGCACGATATCCAATACGATCACCACAAAAATAGAAACATGTGAAGGTAACCAACATCATAATTCCCCAACAATTATATTTCATTGAGTTGTAAGGCAGGTAACACGAGATCTGTTGTGGAATTTGTAATGTAAAAGGAAGACGTAAATATGACTAGGGATTTCCATTTACTACCCTTTTCACAGGTGACCTGGTTGCTCTATAATTCCACCAGTGTTTGCATAAGTGACGG